CCAACTCGGGCCGAGATTCAAGCAAGGCGTATCCTTCAATAAGAGTTTACCCGCGGACTTTTACTACAAACTTGGTTACCGTTTTCTCGGGAGTGTAATGTCCCAAGTTGTGGTATTGCTCGATGATGTTGACGCGTGTCTCGTATTTTGTTGCCTGTGGTGCATCTCCAGATAGAACTGGATATGATGCTGCAACATGTATGGCAGGTTGTTCCCGCTTTGAGCTGAAGTATAGAGCCTTCACTCATATCTTTGCTACTAATGGGACGCCCCACGGGGTCTTCCCACATGCTTTCTTGTCTGCTTCGAGAAAATTTTTGTTTGTGTTTTCCACTAGCATCATATCTTCTTCTAGTAAAGTCAAGAATGTTGGAAACCACGTTGCACTGGGGTAATATGGTACACATATCGTGATGCTGGTTGCCTCTTCGTTGACTTTGTCAAGGACATCAGGTATGAGTTCCCATGACGGGTTCGCCCATGCCTTCGCTTCCTGGTTGGGTTGGGCGTGCATTGTGTGCCGACGCAATCAGATCTACTGTGAATTTCCCACACCGTCTTTCAGCTTCTTTGTATAATCTGGAGTGTAATATCCAGTCTATAACTGATGTGCTTATGGGCATGTTAGTTTCCAATGTTGTGTACTCTTGGCTGTTATGTGTTGTTTTGTTCGCGTCTTGTAATACCTCGGACGTTTTAGTATTAAACGTGTCTTCGTGTAGACGCGACACCACATCTACCCTATGGTCGTCTTTGCCTGGGACGTATATGATGGAGAAATGGTGATGGAATATTTTTGCTATCCATTTGGTTAGCATTGGGTGTAAAGTCTGTTGACTGTTCTTTTGCGTGAGTGCTTTATGATCTGTCCACAGTATTATGTCCCTTCCTTTGATGTATTCGGATAAATGTTCCAGGCTGTATACCAGTGCTAGTAGCTCCTTGGTGCTAGTAGCTTCTTAGTGCTAGTGGCTCCTTAGTGCTAGTAGCTCCTTAGTTTTTATGCCATAACGTTGTTGTACTGGATTCAAGCCTTTTGAGAAGTAGAGAATGTGTCTCCCAACCCCATCGATGACTTGAAATAAAACATACTTCTTTGCCATAGTCACTAGCATCGTTCACTATTTGAAATGGTACCCCATCAACAGGGTATGCTAGTGTCGCCGAACATGCGATGGGGTTTTTGAGTTCTTACACTTCGTTTTGAGTTCCGGAGTCCATAACATGGATATGTTCTGGTTCATTTTCCCTGCATTATTTCCGGAAGTGTTTCGTTGTGTGGGAAAAGTTGGTGACATGGTCACGCATATAGTTTGCGAGTCCCGCCGCTTTGTGCAGATCTCTTTTTGTTCTGTGTAGTGACCAGTCCATCAACCTTTTTTGTTTCTCAGGATCCGCTTTGAGTCCCTAGGTGGCGACTTTCACCCCTAGAATGTTGACCACTTTGACCGCGAATGCACACTTGTTGTGATTAAGTCCGAAGTTTGCTCCATTCAGTCGCTTGATTACTTCGCGAACTGTCTTGCGGTGTTATTATTCTGTAAGACTCGCAATGATTGTCATCTACATACACTTGCATACCTTTGATGTATATGGGCAGGTTTGCCATGACTCTCTGGAACTGCCATGACTCTCTGGAACTGCGCTGTGAGTGAGTGTAGTCCAAACGGCGCTGACTTGGATGAGTATTGCGCTCCTATCCACGAGAATGTGAAGAAGTGTTGGCTTGCTTCGTCTACTAGGTAGTGGTGGAACCTTCCTGTGTGATCTAACATTGAAAATAACTGTACTCATTGTAGGTTGTATAGTCCTTCCTTTAATTTTGGTAGCAAAAACTATTGGGTTTGGACATGTTCACTTGTTGATAACAACGGTAGATTCACTGCTGTTGGTGTGGTTCGTTTGTATATGTGCCCATCTGTATGCCACTTTTGTACATTTTCGTTCATTTGCGGAATATAATTGTTAGGTACAAAATTGACTTTAGCGTGCCTCATTCGTTTGACATTAATTTCGTTTGCAGGCACTGTGGCTGTGCAGCCTGGTAGATTGCAATGTACGTCAGGAGGTAGGTTCGCATTTGTGTCTAAGAGGTCTGCCAGTGACTCTCCGAAACCTTCTATTCCCATTTTGCATCTGTTGGTACAATTGGATTGATTAATCCTGCTATGTATATGCCGATGTATGGTAGAATGTCAATACTGAGAAGTATGGGTGCCTACTTGTCTAAAGGTCCAACACTTCAAAACATTGAGAGGTTTTTCTTCCTCCGCAATTAATGTCCCATACTTGGGTTGACCCTGTGCGTTGTATTCTTGCATCTGTTTGTGCTAATTGTATAGAACCCGGTCGCGCTCTAACCGAGAAATAAAGATTAGTTACTACAATCCTATCCATACATAAGCGTTGTGCACCCGAGTCTACTAGTGTATTGTATGTATTGCCATTAATTTGTATGTCAATGTGTATTCGTTGGTCCAAAGGTTGGTAATTTATATCATTTAAATTTATTAACAACGTCACTTCATCTGCATTTACATTTAGACTGTCAGCCAGATCAATCATGTTCGCTTCCGCCCACTAGTTATCTCAGTGCTCATCACCATCTGTGATGTCTTTTACTTTACCGGAGGTAATGAACAGTCGTGCTACTTGCACATCATTTCAAACACGCTCCTCAGCCTGCGTGGTCTGATTCGACGCCTTCATGGGACATTGACTGAAGCGATGTGGGGCTGGCATCACCTTACAATAAGGACATGCGCGCTCCTCGCGTTCCCCTTTCTTCTCTTGGGCTTGTCCTATTGGTTTGGTTTGATTGGGTGCACCGTTATCTGGTTTATGCCTTTTGTTAGTAGCGGTAGTGTACTACTCTCAGCGTGGTTGGTTGTCTGCGTGTTTTGACGCTTGTTCTGCACTCGCAACTGTTCCCTTGGCATTCGGTCTCTTTGCACCTTGGACTCCGCTCTTATGCTTGCCTCAGTCATAGTATGAAACTTAGTGTGTTCTATATCTGATAAGTGCCCCTCACTTCCATCAGGTTGCTTGTCTGCCTTGATGAGAGCATCCACCTGTGCTTGTTGTCCGTAGTACATAAGTGCTTGGTATCTTTGTACTTTAAGGAGTTGGAAGTGTATGGGTTCCTTGTTTGAGTTGCGGTACCGCTCCTCTAACATCGCCATAGTCTTATGTGCACGCTCTGTGCGCACTTCGACGTTCAGCTTCTTGTTCTGCATGTCATTGAGAAGCTTCTATAACAGATAGTCTACTGGGTGAGGCCTGAGTCTGCCAATAATGATTCTATTGAATTGCTTAGGTTCCTTGAAGTGCTTGGTTGTATGCGTCTCAGAATCTCTCAAGTTATTGAGTACTGACTTGGTCTTCTCCGCTACATCAGTGGAATCTAATGGGTTTCTTACTAGTGCGGAGTACTGACACAGTGGCATGGACTTTGTTAGGAATAGGTCACTACATCGCCGCGTAGTGAACTCTATGATGTCTTCGCAATTTTCCATTCTAAAGTCACTATCTTCAGGGAGTTTAGGAAATTATGATGTCTTAGTAGTTTTGCGAGAGGTGGTTCGTTTGTCTGGTCGCCTAAGCGTGAACGCATGAGCTCTAACTCATTAATGTATTGACTTATTTGAATGGATTCATCCTCATCTTCGTCTCCACAATCATTGATAGCTAAATCATATCTTCGTCTGAGCTCCGCATTCACGAGTGGCATACGTCGTTCTGGCTGTTGGTCATGAATGCCTACTCTCATCATGTGTAGAGTCGGTATAGGCACTGCTGTTGGTTGTTCCTATTTGGAAACAAACCTACTAACCAGGAAATGTTGCCTTGGCAAATTCTTTTGTTTATTTCTTGACGCATAGCTGAAATTAGTATGGGTACCCCAGCCGGTGTAGGCTGGCCGGAGCCACTGCCTGGGCTTGTCCCCCCCCCCCCCCCCCATTGGGTTGGCACTTGCACTATCCGTGCCCACACTCCCTTCTTCACCACCATACACGCTTGCTCTGGTTGCCGTTGGCATCTTGAGATATCTGTGATTGTGTGTGGGTATTGCAGGTTATTAATAAAGACTGTTGCCATATTTTGTGCGATGCGCGCTTCACCCCCTTGTCTTTAGTATTAATTCGTATGAAATAAATAATTTTCGAAGTTTTTTTACTTACTATTATAGTGTTGTTGCTTCGCTGCACTTCCCCGGGAAGTGTTTACCGTTATGTATGGTACGGTAGCTTTTTGCTTTGTTCCCTGTGTTTATGAGGGGTTAAACGGTGTTTGTTAGTCAAGCTTATTTCGTCACGCGTGGACTTACTTGTGATTATTTCGTCATGTGAGAAATTATTTTCTCACGTGATATCTCATTGAGATGTTCTGTTCTAGTGACGGCACCCCTTGATGTTCGGTCCTACTGACGTCACCCCTTGATGTTCGGTCCTAGTTACTGTACCTTGTACGTTGTGTGTGTACCGAACTGTTGTGTGTGTGGTGTCACTTGGCGTGTTCTATGTATTATATACATGAATGCTTCCCACCTATGATTCCCTTGGCACTTGTGTGTGATTTTGTGTGCAGGTCTCACCTCCGATGTCAGGTTCAATGTGTGATGAGATAAGTGCGCAGTGTTACTCACCCTTCTTGTTACCACCCAGACTAATTGTCTGGTGATTGTTGTATACTGGTATGTATTAACCTGCTTGCCTGTAATCGTTTTGTGCGCTAATAGTCAGTACTACTCAAGTACTTTTGCTAGGTTCCCATTCACTTATTTGTCTGTGATGGCCATGTGCATCTCAATCGATATTCGCTTTATTCACTTATTTATGTGCGTTCACTTGATCTGTTTTATGTTTAGTCAATCTTGTGGATGCTGGCTTGATTGATCGTGTGATTTCTCCGTGCATTGGTAGTATTTGTATAGCTGCTGGATTGCTTACTATTTGATCTTTGATCTTAAAGTGCGATCTCAATCTCTTCAGAGTGGACGTTTGTTGTTTGCTTGATTGCTTGATCTGATTGATCATATGTTGCGATTATGTGTTTATATTATATGTTATGATGCGTCCATATTATCTCTATAGCTGATGTCTGTTTCTTAGATATGTGCCTTCGAGTTCTGTCCTCAATCTCGTTGTGATCCTTTTCTTTAGTATGGTTGATACCTGATCAAACTGGGTTCAGTTCGTTACTCTGGATATACCACTGTTGTGTGGCGATACTATGTTGTGTGCAAGCGATATGTGCCAGATTGTGTCTTGATTGTGTGCATATTTTGCTGGTACACGATTTCTGATCTTCATCAGATGTTTGTGTGTGTTACATGTGAATCAGGTGGGTTAAATCCTTCTTTATGTTGTGTAAGATCTCTTAATCTAAAGTTAGGATACTTGACTAAATAAAGTTCACTCTTGCTGTTGCATGTGTGTCTTGTCTCCTTTTCGATCTCAATTTAAAGCTGATGCCCTTGATCTAATTGTTCGGACTGTGCTTCTATGAGCGATTGAGACTGCGGCCTTCTTATTTGTTAGTCTATGATAATGAGGTTCTTTGTATTTGACAATGTTAAGCTTTCATGACATTACTTGCCTAAACGCCTTTGTGCATTCGATGTTCGCATGTTTGTTTACTCTGTACCACTGTGACCATGTTATTTTGTGTGCTGATGTATGTCTCTTTTGTATAGAGAGTCTATTGTTCTTTTGTATAGAGTCTATGGTTGAGGGGCAATGTCTTTTCTAAGTGTTGACGTCAGTGTGTTTTTCTTGTTCGAGAAACCCCAACATTGATGATTTTATCAATGTGACAGCTTATTTTTTTTAACTCGCTCACACCTTTTCGTCCCACCTTGACCTTGATACTTTCTGTCCTTCTCTCTATTCCTGAATACTTGTTTTTAAGAGTCTCACACTGTACACAATACTTTTACCTCGATCCTTTTGGACCCTGCACAGGAACACGATATAATTACCTGCTTGTTTTTCTTGGTGGACAGAGAACAAAGTTTTCTTCACCTCTTCAACTGTTCTCCTGCTGCCTTTCCACTTCTAACCTCCTTCTATTTATTCCCTTCCGTGGTGGTTAGAGCGACTTTGTTCCTCTGTTGGGGCCTCGTCTCGTCTTCTTCTTATAAAGAAAGTTCTTCGAGACTTCTAATATATACTAGCAGTCCCTCGTTTCTCTTCTGTGTGTTTGTTGAGTGTAAGCTACTTGACTTTTAGTAAGGATATTGTAAAAAATATAGAGTATAGAGAGTAGCTGAACGATACCGGCTAAGGGGTACAATAGACCTCTGCTCAAGTACGGTTGTCTCAGCTAGGAAAAGTCCCTGGTCTGAGAGAACTGAACTGGGTCTTTTTGTGTGTTTTCACTAGACTCGGGATTAACTTGAGTGTTTCTTTCACACGCGGAGTCCCGGTATAGCTGATCTGTTCTACCGCTAATATTTCTGATAACTCTAATATCAGAAACATTGCAATCTTAATTCCAAAACTCAATATTTAATGATCCTGGGTTTTGGGTTTTGGATTGGCTTTTTGATAATCTGGTCCCTAGATGCTACACAAGCACTCCAAGGATCCTGAACAATTCAACAGACCCATTATTGACAGACTCGGACATCACCCAGTAGACTATCTGTTAGAGAAGTTTCTCAGTGACATGCAGAACAAGACACTGAACGACATCGAGGTGTGCACTGAGCGCATTGGTGTTTCACTCTCCTACTGAAGCAAGCATAAGAACGGCAGCCAAAGTGCAAGGAGATCGGTTGCTAAGAGAGCGTCAGAAGCGACATGAAGAAGCGTTGTTAACATATGCAAATGATATAAATTCCCAACCTTTATCCTCACTCCCCGTACCACGAGACCAACGAATACATATTGACATACAAATTAATGGCAATACATACAATGCATTAGTAGACTGGGGCGCACAACGCTCATGTATGGACAAGAGTGTTGTAACTGATCTTTATTTCTCGGTTAGAGCGCAACCGGGTTCTATACAATTAGCACAAACAGATGCAAGAATACAACGCACAGGGTCAACCCAAGTATGGGACATTAATTGCGGAGGAAGGAATACCTCCCAATTTTTGAAGTGTTGGACCTCCCAGATGAGAAGGCACCAATACTTCTCAGTATGGACATTCTATCATACATAGGCATATACATAGCAGGATTAATCAATCCACTTGTACCAACAGATGCAAAATAGGAATAGAAGGTTTCGGAGAGTCACTGGCAGACCTCTTAGACACAAATGCGAACCTAACTCCTGACGTACATTGCAACCTACCAGGCTCCGCAGTCACAGTACCTGCAAATGAAATTAATGTCAGACAAATGAGGCACGCTAAAGTCAATTTTGTACCTCGCAAGTATATTCCGGAAACAGACGAAAATTTAGGGAAGTGGCTTACAGATGGGCACATATACAAACGAACTACACCAGCAACAGTGAATATACCGTTGTGATCAACAGGTGAAGATGACCAACCAGGTCTCGTCAAGAAAGTAGGAGCTTGTCTAAACTTACGAGAGATCAATTACCGGTACGAACAAGATAAGTCTGTGTTTCCGAAATTAAAGGAAGGACTATACAACCTACAATGAGTACAGTTATTTTCAATGTTAGATCACACAGGAAGGTTCCACCACTACCTAGTAGACGAAGCAAGCCAACACTTCTTCACATTCTCGTGGAGAGGAGCGCAGTACTTATTCAAGTCAGCTTCGTTTGGACTACATTTTCTCACAGCATAGTTCCAGAGAGTCATGGCAAACCTGCTCATAGACATCAAAGGGGTGCAAGTGTATGTTGATGTTAGAGTGCAATGCAGTAGACTTTAAAAAGTACAAGTGTATGTATTTATTCCTGACCTCACCTTTGGTTTTATGCTCTAGGTGTTTGTGCTTGTGTTCAGCCGCTTAGGCTGGCCAGGGCAAATGCTCATATGGTCAGTATGAGAACTTTTATGCAGAACACTTTAACACTTCGATGCTATTTTATTTCAACTTCTCTGCAACAAAATCTCACGCTGATCACATGACGTCTTTCTGCATAGATTGCGACTCGTATAGAACAACAGCTATTAATAGAATGTCGCGGTTGGCAGACTTAATCCACTCTCGGGAGTTCGTTGAAAAACCTTATGAGTATTGACTCAATTCTCGAGATTAGTTTAAGCAACTTGATTAGCTCTCGGGAGTGAGCTATCTCTGTT